GTTTATCCTAAGAAGCTCTAGACTCGTAACAGTATACATCTATTTATAATTAAATTTTATTCTTTTATTGCCCTTTGAACCATGTCTAACTACTATTCGCACCATTATAAATTGCAAATCACTTGAGGAATATGGAGCTCATGTTACGCTATCAAATTACATTTCCCATGAACTAATGCATGCATGCCTCATGAAGCATTTTTATTATATTGACAGACGAAAACCTTGGCTTTCACTTGGTTATAGATAATATAGAATTAAACGTAAGAGAGGACTATTAACAAATCCTGAAAAAAGGATGTGACACATGGGTGGGTGTGGCAGGAGGGGTCTGATTTTCTATTTTATAGCCCTGTAACCAATTGAAGGTTATAAAAATTATGTTTTTTCTGATCAATGGTGATTTTATAGTGAGAAATTTATGTTTAATTTCATATTTATTGGAGGGGTGGGGGATAAAATAGAGAAGAGATGCCTAAAGAAAATGTGTCACACTAAGGGAAATCCAGGATTTTTTAAATATTGCCTTATAAAACAGAGAACTTAAAACATATATATTAAAATATGGATTATTAGCTACAATTTTATGCTATTCTAATTGGTATAACATAAACAAAAAGTAGTTTAATAACATTTTTAATGTAAGACACTAAAACCTCGTAAAACCTGAAAATATTTAGTTATAATTTTAAATACTTGCTTTTCTTTTCTCTTTGATTCATTATTTCTTCTGATAAAGGTTTTTGTTAGTTTCCTTTTAAAATGACAACCTCAAATCTTGTGGAGACACACATTTATCAACAATACTTTACCGAGCAAAGTTTGATGAGAATACTGTATAATAAAGTTTTTTAAAGAAATTAAATTTAAAAAAAAAAGAATAAATAAAGGGAAGTAACCTTCTCTCTCCTTTGGCAAAAATAAACACAATAAACGCCACAAGAGCAGCACTCAGTACTACAGCAATAACGATCTGCGTTGAAGACGAGACAGATTCGCTTGTGTCCAGTTTATTTATCTGAACAATACTCTTTTCATCTTTAGGTTCGTGATCAACCTTTGATCTGTAAGGAAACAAGACATTTATAAAGTTTTCTTTACTTGTAATTAGACAACACTCATACTAAAACTTACCACATAGCCAACACATTAGTTATAAATATCCAATACCTAACTCACCAGTTCTAAAACTGAAATATCTAATACATTAGTTGTATAAAATCAAAAACAGCTTACATGAAATTCTGTGGACACACACCAGATGTCTCCCAATTAAAAAGATAATCACAATTGTTGCTTTCATATACAAATTCTGGGCTCCCCTGAAAAAACAATTATAAATACAAACTATTTGTTTAATTCATGCATAATTAAACATCACAATAACTTCAATAATTGCTCAATTTGTTTTTACAACAACTGTAAAGTATTTCAGAGAAATTTAAAAATGGTTACTTCATACACTAATAACAAAATTAAATTACTGGGTTTCTAAACTACTCTTAAGAGTCAAGTACCAAAGTTCACTTTTATAAATGTTTTAAAACATATCAAACAATTATCCGACATTCCCTCACAACCAGGAAGAAATTTATCAAACATCTATACAACTAATCACATTTACTTCCAAAAAGTGGAATTTTCTTTTTCTCGAGTGAGGAAATTTGTAAACAGATTAATACGTATTGAAATATTCCTTTTTATTACATTTATAGATGAGAAACTACAACAAGTCAATACTTAGTTTAATCATATGAAATATTTTCTTCATAACTCGTCTAATGCTCGAGTTAATTCATAACTTTTAAGTTCCTGTTTCAACTGTTAATCTCCAGTAAAACCGAAACATTTTATCAATTAATCTAAAGAATGTGATTTAACTACGTGGGGGTGGGGGGGTTTCTAAGAAAGAGTTGATTAAGGAGACTAAAAAAACTGAGATTACCAGAACCAGACTTGCAGTTTTGGTAAACACTTGTATCACTCAAACTAGTCATAACTGAAAAAAATTCACCCCTATTAAACCTAACAAGTTGTTTCAAGCACCTAGACACCCAAAGAAAAATTGAAATCATTTCCCAAGTTACTATCTCATTTAGAAATCACTTTGCTACTCAAATCAAGTCCGAAAAAGTTTAACGTTCAACTGTTCTTGTCATGGTGTTATGTACCTATATTGGTGTAATGTAAGAGACTTTACACTAGAGGTCACTACTAAAAACTAACATTTTAGGTTGCCTCTTTTGTCTCCTTGAACAATGTTTCATTAAAAATCATTGACTGAATACTGCAACACGATTTTTTTAGATGTCTGTGAGAAACAAGTAACACATACAATCCCATTTCTTAGATATCAATATTTCTTCTGATATTTAAAACATTTAGAAAAAATTTGACATCACATTTCTTAGAAAACTGAGATCACATTACACCCTTTAAGTACTTTCACTTTGTTGTTTCTTTCAGTCACATCGTGCTTCTATATTAAGAGCAAATAAAAAAATAAATAAAATCTTTATTAGATATTTCACTAAAATTAGCCCTGAAGATCGTAACTGTATTACTGGAACTAGTCAGCTTAAATATGTAATAGATTGATCTTTCACTGTGCCAAAAAAAAAAAAAAAAAAAAAAGTTTTTTTTTTTAACTCCTAATATGCTTTTCATTTCCTTGTTTCATGAAATGCATATCACGCTAGTTCCAAGTTTGAGCGAGAAATATTTTAAATACAGCTGTTTTTATTTCTAAAACTTACAATGCCAGCTGCTGTCGAACACTGGAAGGTGATTATGGTTGTTACGTTCTTCTTGTCATTCTTCCCGCATTTACGACCATAAGATGATAAAACCAACTGCAGTTCTGTGCCTACATTACAAATTATTCATTAAAAAATCCTTTAGTTCAATCTGTATAAAGTGTAGTACGTGAAACTTTAAGAAAAACAGCAGTGATGACACACTAAGCCTTATAAAACATTGTATAACTCTAGAAACTTTTCTTTGCTATTATACATAAAACTAAAGTTTCCAATCACGTGACTTTTATTTAATAGACTTTCAGGCATTACTAATAAAGGTTCGATATCTTGCTTTCACATGAAAAACCAATTTAAAAAAAAAGTTTAACCAAAAGTAAAATTAATATTACTTTAAGCTCTGAATGATTATTGTAATAGCTATAGATGGACAAAAACAAAACTGCTGTACAATATTGGAGTTTTATAGTTAAGAAAGTAACTTTTTTTACGAGATTTTAAAATACCAAATATTTCCAAGTCTTGGTGAAATGACTCCAAATTAACAAACAAATCTCAACCAATCAAACAGCAAAAAAATACCCTGTATTACAAACCTATTTGTACGAAAACATTTACGGTTCTAACTGTTTATTTGAAAAACAATAGTAATATTTATCTTATTGGGTAAAACGTCATATTTTATTAACCCTAGAATTACCAATGAGATCCATATGGACCCAAAGATATTTTTAAATACGTTTTTCTAAATTAGTTATCCGTCAAATTGCCAGAAGGACTACGACTTTGCTGCCACAATGTTCCTATACTTGACTAAAGAAACACATTACTCGAACATTATAATAAGTTGGCAAACATGTAATATGTTCTCCCAAATAATAAATCACGTCATTATGTTTATAAATTATTAACTGAAAACTTAAACACAAAAAATCCATCAATAGTGATATTAATCCAACTAGTTACTACTGAAGTTCCTTGTTGTATTTTACTCACTTTTTTTGAGCCAATTCTACACGTTTGTTGAAAAATGCATAAACATAAAAATTATTAAATATCGTATAAATATGTGGGCCTCGCCAATAGTTATCGGTACATAAATAAGTCCGTAATTTGTGCACATAATTCGTTTTGAACTTGGATTTTATTCTATCAGAAACTTTTGTAATTTATAACATCTGATAGTACTTCATTAAATGTGCTAATCTACATTCAGTATCTTCTAACAAAAATTGAACTTTTTTTTTTCCAAAATAAAGGAACTCAAAGTCTTGAATATATTCTTTTAATACTAAAATACCAGTTTGGAAGAAAAGAAAGTATCCTGGGCTAAGTACCAAAACCACTTTAGCACAAAATGTATAACTGAAAAAAAAAGAAACTAATTTGAGATTATTAAAACAATTTTTACATGCATGAGCAAGTGTGCTAATTGGTTTGAATTTTGTGCAAAACTGCATGAGGGCAACCTGCACTAGCTGTCTCTAATTTACTAGATATAGACTATAAGGAAGGCAGCTAGCCAATAGTACCCACTTCTAACTCTTAGACTATTATTTTCTCAATAAATAATGGGATTGATTGTCACATTATAACATCCCCATAGCCAAAAGGGCAAGCACGTTCGGTGACAGGGATTTGAACCTGCAACCCTCAGACTGCGAGTGAAATGCCCTAACCACCATGCCATGCCACAAGTATGCTGAAGCTTGCATCTTATAAAATACCCAGCTTAATTATGTCACTGAATACATTTTTACACAAATTTATATATTGATTTTTCAACCATATTAACATCAACATTAAATTCATAATTTTTTTTTTCAAGAAATGCGTATTTATTGAACACGTGCAAAAAAAGTCCACAAAAGAGAAAAAAATAGTAACACATTGGTAAAATGACAAATTTCACATAAAAAAGATTATAGAAATGATGACAGAAGTTCAAACAGTTTTAATACCAACCTTTCAGGACGAACTCTCTCGTAGGAAAGCTGCCCACGTCTCTAAAAAAAGTTTTGTTGGTGTTTGTTTGACAGACGGCAGCTTGGGAACAGGTGGCATCTATATCTTTTAACCCTCCATTCATATTAACATAATAAACGTAATCATCGTGGTTTCTACTTTCTCTAACTTTAAAAGTTCTGAAAAAAAGGGAACAACAAATAATTGAGGAAGAGGTCAAATCCTTGTACCAGTTAAAGATCTTCATTTTTTTGTGAAAAAATAAAATATTTAAAACAAGTACGAGATGATCAGGTAGTGTTTTTACCAAGCAATTACTCACCAGGATCGAACACAAGACAAAACGACCGTTTGTTTCATATATTTGCACAAAGCTCTAGAAAGTCAATCTACAAATAGCTGTCCCTAATGTTTGAACTGAAAGACTACAGAGAAAGCAGCTAGTCAACATCATCTGTTGCCAACTCTTGAGCTTTTCTGACCAATAAGATTGATTTTACCAATGTTCGTTAATACCCAGAGTGTAGATCGTGACTTTGCAGCATCAGGATGTGTAAAGTTTAGCATGCTGACCACTAGGCCATGCTCGACCAATGTTCAGAAAGCTTTTGCACAGTAGCTCTTAGTCGCTAACAATGAATAAATATATGAAATAAAATTCATTATTTACAGTGTCGAGAACCAATTACCTTTAAATGAGTCTTAAACAGATTGTGACAGAATGCAATTCCTCCTTTCCCCATTCAAAACTTACAATTAAAAAAAAATAATTCTTTACTACATAATACAGTGTCCAGAACTTTCACAGAGAAAAAATTGGACAATGTTTAAAAGATATTTAAAAATAAGTGATAATAAATTTGTTAATTTCTAAACACAATAAACAATTAATTAAAAACCACATTACCTAAACTATTACATTCTCAGCTGCTCTTCTAGTTCTGAGTGAAAATGAATAACAGGCGAGGTTCAATAGTAGGCCTAACTTCACAAAGAACGTTTCAACAAAAATTCAGAAAACTAGTAATACACCTCAGATACAAACTTAGTGGAATGTGAAACACTGAGTGTCCAATTAAAGAAAAATAACAGATTTGATGTTATACGGTCATTTATATCACTGAAGCCTTTAACACTAGCTTACGAGCAGGAAGTACAACTTACCGACTTAGCTGACGTGAAACATTCATTCTTACATCCAATCTTTTGTCATAGATAATTCCATTATCTTCTGGTATCATTAAATCACTGAAATAAAAACAAAGTCCAAAAAGTTAGATCGACTTCATGCTCAGATTCAACGGCAATGCAAGAAAACACACAAATAGAACATTATTAAAATAAATCAGATAAAAAATAAAACTTGTTTCACTGGTCTCGGAGAGCTATCATCAGAGGTAAAAGAAGAATCTTTTTGTAAACTGCATTAATATTCATAACTAATAGTTATATCAATGTTCCTGTAATTGTCGTTAACCGACAGATATGTTCCTGTAATTGTCGTTAACCGACAGGCTTGTTCCTGTAATTGTCGTTAACCGACAGGCTTGTTCCTGTAATTGCCGTTAACCGACAGATAAGTTCCTGTAATTGCCGTTAACCGACAGATAAGTTCCTGTAATTGCCGTTAACCGACAGATAAGTTCCTGTAATTGCCGTTAACCGACAGATAAGTTCCTGTAATTGCCGTTAACCGACAGATAAGTTCCTGTAATTGCCGTTAACCGATAGATAAGTTCCTGTAATTGCCGTTAACTGATAGATAAGTTCCTGTAATTGCCGTTAACCGATAGATAAGTTCCTGTAATTGTCGTTAACCGACAGATAAGTTTCTGTAATTGTCGTTAACCGACAGATATGTTCCTGTAATTGTCGTTAACCGACAGGCTTGTTTCTGGCTTGAAAAAGAGTGTTTACTCGAAATGTCGCTAAGTAAATAATTACTACCATAATTTTTAAAAGGTGATTTTTCTTTATTACCTTCACATTTTTCTACTTATTTTAAGACTTACATCATACAACTGTGCAATAGATAAAAAAAGTTATTCCCAACATTCACTCAATTATAAATCCATTTCTTTATTTCAAATATCTGTTTTTATAAATTTCAAACGATCCACCGATATTTCTTTCATGGGATATTTTAGCTACATAATTTTTGACTCCTTCAACTATAAAACATGAATTGTACAAAGAATACGTAAGTTTACAGCAGATTTTATTTCTACCTCATAAAACAATAACCTTTAGTGTTTTTTTTTAACCTAATAGAGAGAGAATGCTTTGTTTGATCAATATATATTTCATTACATCAAATTTAGCTTTAATTTCAATTTCATACATTTTTTTAGGCATATTTAAAGAAAGTTTTATAGTTCTTAAAGGTTTCACTGGGAGATCTCAACCAACATTCTGGTTGAACATTCTCAACCAACATATATCGATTGGACAAGATTAAAGTCTGTGTACCTCTTGAGATACAGGTGTAACAGTCATCAACTTACACTTTCTCAGGGCAGGCTACACTAGTCACCCATAAAAACTCGAAGACACAACCATCACGTGCAGTGTCGGAAAGAAGTCTGGGTTGTCCAATCGTGTTCCCACATTTGAATTTGATATGTGAGGAAGCAAACTGTCTATTATCGTGTCGGCCCAACGTTTCACAGGCTGTGTTACTGCCTTCGGTGTAAGTCAAGAGCAAACTACCATCATCTGTTGTAAAACGTATAAAAGTTTCAGTATCAATAGCAGGATTTGAAGGAGGCTATTTTTTTTCTAAAACTTTAATGTTTAATATTGTATCCCTGTTTTTCATTCTTTATTCTTGATTTGAGAATGAATACATTGTTTGAAGTTTTGAATGATTATTTTTTTATGTATTTTTGTGACTGTATTGCTTCGATACTTAATTGAACGAAAAAATTAAATAATAGGTTGAACAATCACCAAGTTTTTTGTACATTTTTATTTAAAGAAGGATGACGTTTCAGGCTACCACTCTTCGTCAGATCATGCAGCTTACAAGGTGATTGTAAGCTGTACGACCAAACAAAGAGCGACAGCTCGAAATGTCACCCTTCTTTAAATGAAAACAAAAAACTTGGCCATCGTTCAACCAATATTCAATTTTGATATTTTCGTCACCTATGCTGTTTTAACTATATTTGTCTTCTTTTAATGGAAACTTTTATTGAATCTGCAGTTTAATACCAAGTCAGCTACAATTCAATATTTATGTCAAAACATGATTTGCATCTGTGGCGAATAAATGAATTAAAATGTTTATC